GCACAGGAGCATGCATGCACACATGCACAGCAGACTTGACTGGACTCCTTGGTCAAGTAATGTATCGTTCAGGGCGTTGGAGAAAATGGGAGAGCATTGGCTGGCAGTCAGTAGGTTAGCAGCAGGGTATGGTCAAGAGAAAGTGACAGAGGGAGGCCCTACCCAAACTGTGGCCACTCTAAGTGACATGGACACATCAGCCCGGTGCCCACCTGTGGAGCAACCCCAGCGGCTAAGCTTAATGGGGGAACATAGGCTTACTGAAGTGACCCAGGCACTGAGCACATGAGCACGTGAATGGTGTATTGAGCTCTGGTGAGGGACTCTCACTCAGCAGTGCTATAATGTATGGTTTAAAATGCCTAGTTTCTAGCATCAACAACAAACATGAAGCTTTCAAAAACAACAGGAAAGCCGAGGCTCACGCCTGTAATCCTAACTTCTGAGGATGCTGAAATCTGAGGATCGTGGTTCAATGCCAGCCCAGGCAGGAAAGTCCATGGGACTCTCATCTCCAATGAACCACCAGAAAAACCCGAAGTGGCATTGTGGCACAAAGTGGTAAAGCGCTATCCTTGAGCTAAAGAGCTGAGGGACAGTGGCCAGGCCCAGAGTTCAAGCATCATGACCAACAAAGAAACAAAAACACACAGGAACACATGACCTAAAACTGGGAGAAAAAGCCAGCAACGGAAACTACCCCTGAGACAGACAAAACATTGCATTTTTTTTCAGGAAAAGATGAAAGTAGCTTTTATCCACATGTTCTCAGAGCTAAAGGAAACCACGTATAAATAAAGGAAACATACCGGCAATGTCACGCCAAATAAGAGAATGTGATGAAAAAGAGTCAGATGAAAATTTGGGGAGTAGAAAGAGCACAGTAAGTGAAATAAAACCTCTAGAAGGGCTTCTAGGTAGATGTGAACCGGCAGAAGAAAGAACAAGAGAACCCGAAGGTGGATTGAGATACCAAGCACAGTAGCCACTGCCTGCTAACCTAGCTCTCGGAGACAGGTGGGAGGGTCCCAGGAGCCCAGAAGTTTGAGATCAGCCTGGGCACATGGTGATAACCTATCTCAAAAAAAAAAGCGGGGCGCCGGTGGCTCACGCCTGTAATCCTAGCTACTCAGGAGCCTGAGATCTGAGGATCGAGGTTCAAACCAGCCCACGCAGGAAAGTCTGTGAGACTCTTTTTTTTTTTTTGGTCCGGTCATGGGGCCTGAATTGTGGGCCTGGGCGCCGTCCCTCAGCTCTTCAGCTCAAGGCTAGCGCTCTACCACTTGAGCCACAGCGCCACTTCCGGCTTTTTTCTTTTTGCTTATGTGGTGCTGAGGAATCGAACCCAGAGCCTCATGCATGCAAGGCAAGCACTCTACCACTGAGCCACCTTCCCAGCCCCGTCTGTGAGACTCTTATCTCCAATAAACCACCGGAAAAACAGAAGTGCCACTGTGGCTCAAGTGGTAGAGCACTCGCCTTGAGCTGAAGAGTTGAGGGACCTGGCCCAGGCCCAGAGTTCAAGCACCACAACTGACAATAAACAAAAACCTTTTAGCCAGGCACTGGTGGTTCATGCCTGTAATTCTAGCTACTCAGGAGACTGAGCTTTGAGGATCACTGTTCAAAGCCAGCCTGAGCAGGAAAATCCATGAGCTGCATCTCCAATGTACTACCCAGAGAAAGCTGGAAGTGGTGCTGTGGTTCAAATAGTAGAACGCTAGCCTTGAGCACAAAGAGATTTAGGGACACTGCCCAGGCCAAGAGTTCAAGCCCCAGGACCTGAAAAAAAAAAATTTTTTTTAAAGTCCTTTGGGAAGTTCTGAACAGACTCTTCTTGTCATTGTCATTGTCCTGCCCTGAGGCAGGCCCAGGTGACAGGTCTTGACACCAGAGTGGGCACAGCTGACACTCAGATCAGCCCCTCCACACACACACACACAAGTAAGCAGTGCCAAAAATCAGAAATGGCTCTGTAGCTCAAGTGGAGAGCACCAGCCTTGAGCACAAAGAGGCCCAGGCTCTGAGTTCAAGTCCCATCACACACACAAAAAAAAAACTTGAGGAGACTTGAACACAAAGAAGGTATAGACAATGCTCAGGGCCAATGAAAGATGGTGAGCATCATGCCACATAGGTAATAGAAGCCTGCTCCAGGCTCGTGTGCATTGCATACCCACTGACTGCCCATGGGCAATACCTGCTGGCCTCCAGTCCCTGACTGCTGTGTCTGAGCCCAGTCCCTTGAGCCATGAGAATACTCATGGCTGTCCTGGCATGACCCTCTGGGCCTTGAACACCTGGTGTTCCCATCCATTCTGGGATAAGAGCCCTGCCAGGGACACCCTCACCTGCCCCTGACTTCGGATCTGAGTTCTGCCCAGCCTTGAGTAAAAATTAAGCAAGAGAGTGTAAGGCCCTGAATTCAAGCCTCAATACTGACACAAAGAAAATTGATGATGATGATGATGCCATTGTCCATGCATTCACCCTGCAAAGA